TGACACGAAGTGGTCACCGCTGAGGTAGTTCGGCATGAGTTCTACACATGTGGGGTTAAGTCCCACCGCTGAGGTAGTTCGTAAGTATGCTCTACACATGTGGTTCGCTACCACCTCTGAGGTAGTTCGTGGGGCATTTTTAGGTTTAGTAGTGGCTCAACAATATAAATCATGTGTATGACGTTGTTTTTAAGATATTGCTCATAAATTTATAACTGAGATTGCTGCATTTAAAATCATTTTGTGCATATAAAACCTGTAAACTCACCAACTCTTGTAGTTGACACTTGTTTGACATGCTTTTTCAGGGTAATAAAGACTCATGGTGACACTTGTTAGAAGCCGTGTCACTTTTATCGCTTTCAAAATTTCTTTTGTGTTTATTTTGCAAACTTGTATTTGGGATTGTAAACTTTAGTTATGACGTAATTATGTTTTAAATTGTATGGTTGTGTTGTTTATACACTATTGCTATGAGACTCTACCTGCCATACCTCGCGTTTCCGCTTTAGCGGGGTGTGACATTCGACTACTGACCAAGTTGAACCATATGCATAGGGATCTATGTAGGTTATTTTGGTTTATCTTATTTGTTTCTTTATATATTAGAATGATTTTATTTTAGTTATTGTTTTATGGTATGAAAGAAGGTTTTCTTACTTACAGTACCGCGCATCGTGCGGTTCTCATACTAGTTATTTTTAAATTAATATTATTTACCATATCATTTTTACATAACATTGTCAACTTTTATTCCACCATAAAAAAACATCATATCATATATCGTTAATATATAAATTTGACATCATTTGGGGTTGCAATCTTGACTATTAGTAGTAACATTGTGTGTAAATCAATATAAATCAGTTGACTTTCGATTATTGTCGATAGTGACAATCGTTAGTCTCAATATTTTAATCGACAACTCTTATCCATGATATATATTTGATAATTTTTACTTAAACACAATCTAAAAGAACTACTTATATAAGGTTACCACGTATGAAGTAACACGGAGTGTTTTGGTGGGGGTGGTAAAAGAAGTCAAAATAACATAAAGAACATATTTAACGGACTTTTATTGATGTTGTAAGTTCAAATACGAAAAAGAAATAAAATGTAAATCGTAGGGACTATAATACATAACTACAAAATCATGGGGACAAAGATAAAAACCTTTTGGAGAAAATCGTAGTTTACTATAATAATTTATTAAAGATTTAAGTTTGAAAACGTATTTTACGTCATCATTGGTTACTAAACGCATGTGTCCCCTACGTTGTTGTCTACAACAAAAAAAAATAAACGCATAAGTACTTCCATCACATTCCAGCAACGTAGATGAACTTGAAAACAGACTGAAACACAAGAGGGTGGGGAGTGAAGAGGGAGAGGGTGCGTTGGACGATGGTGTGAGTTGAGAACGACGGTGGTCGCCGGTAGGAGGTAAGGTGTTGGACGATGTTGAACGTGAGTTGTGAGGGTTTGAAGTTTAGAGCTTGTATTTTGATTTTTGTACATCATATTATGAAAAAGAAGAAAAAAACAAAAACAATTAAATTTTTAAAGAATTGATGAAATGTAACCGGTTAACAAACTCAAAAATTCTCGTAAATAAATGATATTAATGTGATTTTTTTTTGAGTTCTTTTCAATCGAAGATAACACAGATCTTTTGATACATCAAAGAAGAACACGCATAAACACATCTCTTATTGAGCATCAAATATGGAAAGAAAATTGGGAATCTCAAATTATTGGCTCTGATACCATGATCAACAAATCATAACGACAAAAACCGTAGTTACTCTAAAGGGCTGTTTGTTTTTAATAAAAAAGCTCTTAATGTCATCTTAAGTCTGAATCGGTCAGACATAAGAGGATTCAGTGTGTTTGTTTTTTTTTCCAATTAAGAGCTTAAAAGCTCTTATTAAGTTGCGATTGAGAAACCTCTTGTTTCAAATCGTCGCCTACCAACTCTCATCTCTTTGCGCTCGACTTCTCTGAATCAACTCTTCTGTCTCGATCTCTCATCTTTCAACTCTGTCAATTGTCGATCCATATCAACTCTCAATCTCTCATCTTCAAGCTCTCGATCTGTCTACCAAGCTCTCGATTTAAGGTATCCATCTCGATTTCAATTCTTCTTTGATTTATGCGTCTTCTTTGATTTATGCGTCTTCTTTGATTTCTCGATTTAAGGTATTCTGATAAATGGGTTTGATTTATTGAAGAATAAACAGGTATCTTGTTAAATGGGTTTGATTTCTGCGTCTTCTTTGATTTATGGATCATATTAGGATTTAAGTAATCTGTATACTTGTTCTTGAATGGGTTTGATTTCTACGTCTTCAATCCTGTTACGACTAGTTATTTATGGGTTTAATTTCTGCACCGGTCATCGCCTCTGCGTTTGTCGTGTGATTTTGTTCAACTTACAAGAGAGGTAGAAGGAATGCAATGATGTTATTTATGTGTTTAATTTTTGCACCAGTCATCGCCTCTGCTTCTTGTGCCCCTTTTCTAGTAGAGCAAAATACTGCATAAAGAATGCAATATTTTCTAGTAGAAGGAATGCATACTTTCTGCAATGAAATAGTTTGGTAGTTATGTCCAACTGCAATCGGTAGACTGAACTTAAAACTTCAGAATCTTGAGTTCATTATGTGCTAATAATAGGCCTCAGTTGGTTTAACAGTTCCCTACAATAAAGTTTTACTGGTATGATGTTTGCTTTGAGAGTCCATGTGAAGATTTTGAAGGTGAAGAAGACGGTGAATCAAGTGTGTAATTATGTGTGTATCTTTGGTGAATCAAACTATTATTACTTGAAATAGTTGAAGTATAATGATGCATCTTATGGGCCAATAAGAAGTGGTTAGATATTATGTTGGCTTGATGTGAAAGACCAATATGGATTCCTTGAATCCTTTGCACAATTGATTGATTGTTTTCGTAGACTACTACATTTAATTATGTTTCTTTCTCAATTGGCATTTGAGGCCAATCTCATGCCATGTGGTCTGTTGGTCTATTTTAGAATCTTGAATTCAATCAGTATACGTAGTTGATTCTAGTTGTCAATAAGACATACATTGCTAGATAGCAATGGGTTGTTTAGTTCTTCAGAATGAAAAGTGGTTTTGTATTTTGGAATCCAATTATTCTTTTATATGCAGATTTTATAAAAAAAAATTATCCTATAGTACATGCATGCTTTAGGTAATTAATTATGATCCTTCTGTAAACTAAGCTATCAGTCTGTTACCTGTTGTGGGATAATCAGTTCAGATATGAAGCTGATTGAACCATGGCTGCATGGATAATGCTCATATCCACTACAACAAATTTGGGTTTATAGGACACCCTCCTTTAGGGTGTCCTAATTATATGCATACATGCAATTGATTTTGTCTGGTTTCCACACTTGGGCTTGTGTTTTTTTCTTGACTAGTTGCTATTACCTTTTCTTGATTAGTTGCTATTACCACAAGAACCAAACCCTCTACTTAAATGCATTTAAGATTTGAAGCTCACATTTACATGAACCAATCTTTATTAGAGTATGATTATTTTGCAATATGTGATTTTTTTTCTTGTATGATAATTAGTGACAGACGAGAAATGTGCGTGTGAGGTGGACAAATGAACTTACCAAACGCTTTTTAGAGACATGTATAGAAGAAGTCAATAAAGTGGGTTGAAACGGAGGTAGTATTCGCAAAGAAACTTGGGTTATTTTCTGAGTATGATCAAACCAACGAACAGGGAACGATGATGATGATGAGGATGAGGCTGAAGAGATTCAATCGCATGGGAGTGTCGCTGACCAAACATATATGGTTAGTTTAAGAGAAGAAATTGCGACACAATTAATGCAAAATGAATATTGATTCTAGTTGTTATGAGACTTTGTTTGTGTTTTCTATTATGTGTTGAATCAATTGAATTTTTGAATATGTTATAAATATATGTAGTTTACAAATGGTTTAAATGATTGGATATTTCAGTTAAATTTAATTGAAATGAATTGATTCAGATTTCAGACTTCAGAAGTTTGTCAGTTTACAAAAACAAATAATCTTATTGATTCAGATTTCAAACTTCAGACGTAAAAACAAATAAACTGACTGATTCAGATTTCAGACACAAAAACAAACAGTCTGACTGATTCAGATTTCAGACTTCAGCACCACTTCTTACAAATCAGAAGTGAATTCATATTTCAGACATCAGCACCACTTCTTACAAATCAGAAGTGAATTCAGATTTCAGACATCAACATCTCTTAAAAAACAAACGTCACCTAAATCTGTTTGTTTCTTGTTGGGTTTTCTAGCTGCATGGGGCTAGTTTATTTAGGAAACTAAGGTGGCGTTTGTTTTTTAACAGATGTTGAAGTCTGAAATCTGAATTCATTTCTGATTTTTAAGAGGTGGTGCTGAAGTCTGAAATCTGAATCAGTTAGACTGTTTGTTTTTTGCGTCTGAAATCTGAAGTTTGAAGATGAGAGATCGAGATTTGATATGGATCGACAGTTGACAAAGTTGAGAGATGAGGGATCGAGACAGAAGAGTTGATCTAGAGAAATCGAGCGCAAAGAGATCAGAGTAGGTAGGCGACAATTTGAAATAAGAGGTAATAAGAGGTTCCGCAACCACTTAAATTTTCAGACCTAATAAGAGCTTTTAAGCTCTTAATTGAAAAAAAAAACACTGAATCCTTTTATGTCTGATCGATTCAGACTTAGGAGGACATTAAGAGTTTTTTTATTAAAAACAAAGAACCCCTAAGCAACTTTCCTAATCATAGCAACTCTAATACATTCTTTCTCTTGGGATTTTTTCAATTTTCAACTAAAATGACCTAATGAAATCGACCAAATCCTCAAGTGATGTGTACGATGAACCACCTTCCTTTAGGCAAAGGTTTACTTTCTCCTTCAAATTCAAGACTCTTTTCCTCATTTCAATCCCTTCTTTATCCACCATTACTCTTTTTATCGAGCTTTCAATCTCTCCCCTTTCTAACCTATTTTCCAGTTCCACCCCAATCTTCCAAACCTCACTTACATATCTTGCATTTGGTAGTTGATCACCGAAACACGGCGAACAGATCATGGGAACCCCTTCACAAATGCTCTCTAGCGTCGAGTTCCATCCATTATGAGTCAGAAATCCCCCCGTTGCAGGATGAGCCAATACCTCTTGTTGTGGAGCCCATTTCACAATATGCCCTCTTCCTTGTGCAATTCTCTCCAAAAACCCATCTGGCAAGGGTCCAAGCCAATCGGACCCTTGTATGGACCCTGGTCTAACCACCCATAGAAATGGCTGCTTGCTATTAGCCAAACCCCAAGCCATCTCCAAGAATTGGGATTCTTCAATCATGGCTAGACTACCAAAACTAACGTATAACACAGAGTTGTGTGGGTGTTTGTCTAACCATGAGATGGATGTTTGATCTTGTGCTAGGAGGCTGCTTGATGATGCTGGGAAGTATTTGTGAAATGGTCCGATCAGGAAATGTGGGTACGGGAAACCATGTCTAACTGTTGATAGTTCGGCTTCTTCAAGCTCTTTGAATGAATTCCATATTATGGCTCGTGCTCGCTTGGTAGCTTGGACCATGAGTTCCAATAACTCACAAGACCCCACCGGGTCACTGGTTAGGAACTTTGGTATGTCTTTCACTTTAAGTGGTTCGAGTCCCGGCACCAATTCTTCCGACTTCATTTCTACATGAAATCAATTCCATGTCAAATAAAAATTGATGGGTGCAGTTTCTAAGAAAATAGCAAGTGTATATACCTTCACCGGAGAAGGGCCGGAAATAACCCATGTCACGTAACAGTGGAAAAGCAGCAAAGGAGAGAAAAGACGAAACGTTGCTGGTCCGGTGAACAATCCTCGGAAGTTTGAGTTGGTCGGCGACGCTGTCGGTGGCGTACCACTGAGCATCTGTGACTAAGCAGGAAACTCCGGGATCCTCGTGCATCAAACGAGCCAAACAATCTCGTATTGGATGGAGGAGGTTGGTGTTGAGGTAGTGGAGTAGAGTAATGACGTCAGCGATGTCGGAGAGTGAGTGGTTGTTGTTTAGGGCGACGTCGGGAATGGGTAGGAAGTTGAAGTGAGGGTAGTTGGTGGGATTGGGGGCGTTGAAACGAGTATGGAGGATGGTGATGGAAAAGCCTTTTGAGTATAGTATGTTTGCCAGTTGAAGCATCGGGTTTATGTGGCCTTGAAAAGGTAACGGCAGCAACACCAGTCGTCGGCGGCCGCCATTGCTCCTGGGTAGGACGGTGGTGGTGGTGGTGGTGGTGATGATACCCATATGTCTCTTGCCTCTGTTATGTTTATGAGCCACCTTTCGTCTCTATTTATCGACAACCACAACAATGCTTGGCCACATAATTTATTTCACAGTATTTTTTAAAAAAATTTACACCAAATATTAACATGTTTTAAATTTAGTGTGTGAACCAACTTCAATTGGTTTTCATTTTACTTTAAATATAATTCTTTTTATGTTTTTATTAATTTTCTTTTAGACATAAAAAAATTATTATCTTATATAAATATATCTTATATTATAAAGCATTTGACAAAAAAAATTAAAAACTATTTTTTATACATGAAGTACTGTTTATTGATACATATTACTTAAAATTCAAGATTATAAGTACATTGTGTGTAAGTACAACTTATTATAACTTCATGTTTGAATTCGTGTAATTATCTATAGATAAACATAATCAAATAGATAATAAACATTTTTTAAATATAAAATATCTAAAATATAATTAAGATAATCATTGAGTTCTAACAAAATATTTGATTATTATCTTTATTAAAAAAATTACATTATTAAACCAAAAAAATAAATTAAAGAAATACATAAAAAAAGAGAAATTTTAAATAGTTAATTTTGTACTAATGTTAATATTTTTTTTCAATTTTTATGATATCTTCATATTTATATTTCATTCAAACATAAAAACATTATTAGTTTCTCAAAACAACATAAAATCGTATTATAACATCAACTCAGACAAAAAAAACAAACACTAAAATCGAAATGTATCTCGCAGCATTGTGCGAATACTCTTCTAATTATAAAGCATTTGTCAAAAACTCTTAAAAACCATTTTTATATATGAAGCAATGTGTATTAATGCATATTACTTAAAAAATTAAGATTACAAGTAAATTGTGCGTAAGTACAACTTATTAAAGCTTCATTTTTGAATTTGTATAACTAACTGCGGATAAACATAATCAAATATTAGATAAATATCTCAATTTAAATATAAAAAATCTAAAATATAATTATGATAATCATTATCTTGATAAAAAAATTATTGTTTAACCAAAAATAAATTACTTCACTATTTGGCCTTAATTAAACTATAATAAAAAACTGAATTAAAAAAATTGTACATAAAACGAGAATTTTTAAATAGTTAATTTGATATTTATATTGATATATTTTTTCAAAATTTTATGATGTCTTTATATTTATTTTTATTTAAAGGTAAAAACATTATCTTTCTCAAAACCACATAAACGTATTATATTAAAAGAGACAAAAAATAAAATGAAACATTAAAATGAAGATGCATCTTGTTGTATTGTACTGAGTATTCTTCTAGTATATATATATATATATATATTAAAATGAAGATGTATCTTGTTGTATTGTACTGAGTATTCTTCTAGTATATATATATATATATATATATATATATATATATTTTAACTAGTGGTATTGTTTAACTATAAAAAAACAAATATAAGAATATTTTTCACAAAAATAACCATTGATCTGTTGGTTAGTTTATTGTTTTTCATATGTGAGATGTTGTGTTCAACTCTTTTATTGCAATTGTTTTTCCAAAAACATAAAATAAATTGAAATTAAAAGTAAAAAACTAAGAAAATGACACTAACATAATTCAAACTCAAATCTGAGATGAAAAAAAAGTCTTACAAACCAATTCTACCAATTTTTTTTATCTTTATTGTCGTTTCAAAATATATACTATCATGATAACTTTTTACACTAGGATTCAAGGGCGGAACACAACGGAGAAAACATGAGAGAGTGTAAACAAAAGAGCATATTCAATAGATTTTCCAAAATTAAGAAAATGGAGATTTTAAGCATATTTTTGCTCCAACAGGCTCTCCAAAATTCTCCAAAACGGAGAAAACATGAGAGAATGTAAACAAAAAATTATTACAATGAGAGAGAATCATTTTTTTTATCATATTCACATCGATAAAAATCCTTAATATTAATGGTTTATAGGTCACTGGTAATTTGACATATCCTTTTTTGTCTTTATTTGACCCAAAAAATGGATTAGATCGAAACGACTTTCCTGCCAACGGGAGATTGGCTGGGGCGGGGAGCTCGAGCCCTGGTTTTAATAGAGTTTTAATTATCTATTTTGGAATTTTTTTGAAGAATATGTTGAAGATGCTATAATATTGTAAGAATTTGTAAATCCAAATGATTCGTTTTTAGACTATTAAATTTTAGAAAAAGATTGATTAATGTAATATTAAAACTCGAAACATTCAAAGTATTAACAGGAAAATAGTAATACCAACTTAAACATTATTTACATATAATTAATATATTATATTATTTACTCTAAAAACTTAAACATTCAAAGTATTAACCGAGAAATAGTAATACCAGTGTAATTTACTTTAAAAACTTATATTTACATATAATTAATATATTATGTAAAAACTAATACATATAATTAAATATTATTAATTTATATAAAGAGCATGGGAAAAAAAATGCCTGTGAGGGGTTTTGAAACAAGAACCTTCACAATAGAGGTCGTAAATGATTACCAATTGAACTACTTAATATATATGTTTTTAAAAACTTAATTATAGTATTTAAGTCTAAAAAACGGGGAGGCCATGGCCCCCAAAGGCCCCCATGATGTTCCGCTTCTGCTAGGATTTCACCCCTCTTTGTAAGGTTGTTGCTATCTACAAGTTATGCTTATTATATATTTATTTAACTAATTGGTGCAAGCCCTATGCGAGTGGGACCTATGCACGTCACACGTGACTTCAATTCTTCAGTAAATAATGTAGGCTCAATAATTCTGTGACAAAGAAAGCCTGCGAACCACATGTATTTTTCTTCTCTTTTATTCATTTTTCATATGAAAGGAGAAAAACAAAAATCCAATTTCTCTTCCTTTGATATATATATATATATATA